GCACCACCAAGATGTTTTGGGAAACACTGAGGTGCTTGTGCTTGTGAAATTCCACTCTCGGTAAACGGCCTTGAAGATGCCAGTGCGCCAACAGGAACTGGATTCCAAAGCGGGCTGTTCTTTCTCAGCTGTCAGTTTCCCATCATAAAGGTATACAGCTTTATTGCCCATTTGTTCCTCCCTTTCCTCCCCGATTGATGGCCGAAGCTGGTAGATATGACACAAGGAATTCATCTCCAGTACAGAACTACGTGTACATACAAAGCAACAGAATTATCATCAACAGCAACAAAAGGAGAGACCAAAGAAGATAAGAAGGATAAATAATAATACTACAGACAGACTAGATGAGTAAATATATATAGAGAGATATTAGACAGCACTGTTAAGAATTTTGTGTTCAGCAGAGAGATGGCACAAGGGAAAAAGCTGTCCCTGTGTCTAGTTGTTTGGTATGCAATGCCCCTAAAGCACCATCCCAAGGGAAGAAGCTGAAGCAGTTCACGTGTGGATGCACAGATACCTTCTTAGCTCTCTTTTTAACCTGTACAACGTACAGTTCTAAGGAAGGCAGGGTGGTTGCAGTTGGGGTGGTGGTGGTGGTGTTTTTTGTAGTCCTCTCTGTTGGAGTCTTTATTTTTTGGTTGCTGTCTGAACAGGCACAGTGAGTTGAATGGGTTCTTTAGAGTGAAGAATTTCTGGAATGATGGTATTGTCAGGCGGAGTCAACAAAAAGCACTTGTGCATAGGTTTTCAGGCAATTCAAGGTGTGGTGCCAAGTCAAATTCACAGCATCCTTGGCACCAACCTCTCAAAAGGTTTTCATAACCACAGACGTCAGAGCAATTGGCCTGTAATCATTCAGCTCTGTGATGGAGGATTTTTAAGAAACTCGGATGATGATGCTAGAGGATTTGAAGCAAGAAAGGACATGACCCGTGTCCAGTAATTTATTTTAAAAAAAAACTGTATGAAGGGAGAGGGGGCAGTCCTTCAAGCAAGGGGTTCCTCTGTCTGGGCCTGGTGCTTTTCATCTTTTACTCTATGAAATAGACCTCACACGTCGTCTTCTGAGCTCACCAGAGGTGGAGGGCCCAGGGGGATGGAGGTTGGTGTAGAAAAATTAGCTATTGTGTGTACCTGAGATGGGGTAGGTAGCAGTAGAAGACTCTGATCTCTTCTCAAAGTAGAACACATACAGGTGGCCTGCCACTTGTTATTTCTCTTCAACAAGGGAGGGAGGTCTGCTGTAGCCGCAGATATTCTTCAGGCTTCTCCAGTTGCAGGTTCATTAGCAAAGGTCTGGGCTATTTTAGGCTCTGCTTCAAACTGGTTACATCTGCTTGTCCCATCAGATGCCGCATGAGGAATGCAGCTTGTCAGGGAATGACTCTTGGTGGGCCCAGGCAAGTGAGTCTTCGCATCCATGTGGCCTGCCTTGTGGAAACCCTCCCACACACACACATCCCAGTGAGTTAATGTTTATCCCTACTAATTTTTGGGAAGCCCCCATATCACATGGCTACATCATCAGGCCTTGTGGGACAGACTGTGTCTCTGGGGTGAGATCACAAGCCTCTCTATTGCTGTTCTAACCTCTTAGGTATTTTATGCTTTTTGCATAAAATGGATTGAGTTTCAACTTGCTTCTCCTGAGGAAGTGGACAAGGCCATGGGAGCGGTGAGTGCCTCCACTTGTATAC